ACTGACAATAACAGAGATACGACTCACGTCATTTAAATAAAAAGAAGAATTGTATCGAAATATGTGATTAGTTCTAAGGCCTGCATCCTTTAGAAATATTTTTTGTGGATCACTCCATATTTTTCTTTACTGTTACTTTTCTGTTTTTAATTTTTTCTCTCCATCTTGCAATTTCTGCATGTTCTTTATATCGTTAATAATTGTCTTCACTTATTATTCAGTGGCGTAGCGTAGGGGGCCAGAAGGGGATGGGCACCTTATCTGGGCGACACTGATAGGGGCGGCAGATTTTAGAAAAAATTACTAATTAATGTTATTTGAATTAACGGTACTGAGACTGAACATTCTTCTTTTGATGACAGACGAAAGCTTAAACATATGGATAGATGCAGAAACTTTGCTAGTCGCAATAATCATTGTCTTTTCTGTTTTTTTGGGCTTCTAAAAACATGTGCTACATGAAGTCAATGATGCCCACAATTATTTGCAAACCGAAGGACTAAACGTGTATTACTGTGCTAAAAACTAAGTACTTTACAGAAGCTATTCATAGAAAAACGAGAGGAAATGAGATCTGTCAAAAATTACGAGAAGACAAATTTATGGTGATAGAAGTGAAGATTCTGCCTTGTCCCTCGAAATAAAATAGTTGAAGACTTATTTGGATGAAAGTCCTATGTAACAGAAACGTACTTTAGAAATATTTGAATTTAAAATTTCTTATTTGGGATAGTTGGGTCCGTCGAGGAATTCTGATGTGCGATAACTAGTTACTATAGTAAATTTTTGTAAAAAAATTTTATGGATGAACCAGTATTCTTCGAAAAAAAAGGGAATAAAAGACCCAATTTTACAGGTTATATTCACAAAACAACTGTCTTGAAAATTACAACGTTGCCAAGTTGTTGATGAAATTGTAAGTTTCAGGATTATTTAAAATTTGTAAATTAAGAGATCATAAAAAGAGATGTAATCAAAAATCATACATTTTTTGTTTTGTTTCAAAAAGCTTACTTGCGGTAATAATCGTATATAAAATGAAAAAAATAATATATCAGCCAAAATAATTTTAAAAATGCAGCACTAAAAAAATTATACATATTAGAAAAATTAGGCAGTCCCGCAGAACAGAATTCGACTGCAAATCCTTTGGAGACTCTGTCCTTAACAAATAAGGGTTTATATTATTGACAGTTACGCGGAAAAGTCACAAATTAAAAATACAATTTATTTAAAAACTAGGGGAAATCCAAATGACATATTTTTCAAACCACCCCTATCACCCTCTTAACACATTGACTGCCAAGCCAGAATCGTGACAATTTCCCCCCAGGCCAACCTTTTTTTTTTCTGTCAATAAATGCGATTCTTTAAACTATATGTTTTTCTTAATACTGTAACCAAAATACTTCGATTTTTTTCAGGCCAAGTATACCTGAATATCAGTGGTAGGCTAGCGTACAAAAATATCATTTATAAAGCATAGACTGTCATACATACGTGAACGATGCAGCCTGCAGTGAAATATCGACCGTCATACATATATGAATGACGCGGCCGTAACAGAAGGGTACCTGTCATACATATATGTATGACGTGGAAGTCAATGTGTTAAGGGGGGGTAAAGATTTTAAACATTTTTTGCATTTTTTTTTTATGTTTGATTTTGTAAATGGAGAACCTTTTAAGAATATTGTGTGAAATCTGTATCTGTAACGTGTGGAAAATGGATTATCCCCTACGGCACTTAGGCCTTATTAGGCCCATTGTGTATCCTCCCAAGATGATAGGCACCTCCTAGCGTGAGCCAGCCTACAGATTTATTGTAGTTGACAATGTCGCAAAGAGATGCTTCTCTTATATCGGCCGGTGTTAGCCGATACTCGCCGAACACAAATCTTCTAATAAATGAGAGCGTCGAGCAATCGTAAAGGATATGCTTGATGGTCTCATCTTCTTGTTCGCACCCTCTGGAGAGTGCGGATTCTGACAGCTCCATGATATGGAGATGCTTCCGTACTTGACAATAACCAGTCAGAATGCATGTGACTAGGCGAGGATTCTGTCTAGTCATAGTCAAGTATTTGTTTGCTGCGGTATTGTCAGGATAACTTAAGAGCTCTCTGTCAACTCTGCAGTTTCTTGTCTCATTCAATCTTTCCTTGAATTTCACAAGGGAATGTTCTTTAATTAGGTCTGTCACCGATTTTGTCAGACTAATAGAAGGGCCAGGTCCAAAAAGTATTTGGTTGGCTGCTTTCTTGGCTAGTGAATAAGCAAGACCTTTCGATATGGCGTGACCTTTGATCCATCTTAAGATGACCACATTGTTGATGGATACTTCGGCCAAAGCTTCGCGGCATTCTAGTACTAACCCTAAATAAATTCGTGGTCTATTCAGTGTGAGTAGTGCTTGTTTGCTATCTGTATAGATGAGCAAGTTCCTTTCAGTGATATTGTTTCTGTTTATTTCTTTTGCTGCTATGAGAATCCCCGTTAGCTCTGTTTGAACTACACTCACACTATTGCTCACAGCCCATTTTATGTTTAGGTTTAAGAATCTGGAGTATATTCCACTTTATATGGCTTATGGAAGATATATCTTGGTGAGATAGAGTCCATGTTCGCTTGAAGCAGTGGGAGTGTTTCGAGCGTATCCTGTTAAAAGTGACGTCTCGCCTCACCAGATCCTACATCAGGTTCTATTCCAACCGTGCGGAGGCATGTTATTGTCGTCAGAGCAACCTCCTTGATGTAAATATCAAGGGAAGTCAGACTAAGAATGACTTCCATCGCTTTGGTCGGTGTTGTTTTCATGGCTCCTGTTGTTGAGAAATGCTCTTCTTTGAATTTGTTCTAGTTTACGGATAGCTGTTAATTTTTGTATTGTGTGAAAATTTGAGATGAATCGGAGCAAAACTAACGAAGATGCAGCGGTTTGAGTAACCGCATACATGACTCAGCACATCAGAAAACACCTGCCCGGCCCGAGCGCGCTATTGTTACCTGGCAGCTGTTTCGTTCTCTATATAATCCCTATCCTTACCTCCTACCTCTATAGAAATTTCAACATAAGTACAAACGTGTTTATACCTGTACTGTATATAAGTTAGTGTAGCATTGGCCTTGCAGGTGGATCAAGCGCTCATGAATGACGATTCGTCGTAGACAGGAGCAAAAAGATGCTTTAGACATCATGGATGATACAACATCCTTTATGGACCTGGCATCGATAATTCAGTGTTAGATAAGCCGATAAAACTTGCTTATGAACGTTTTATTCCAAATTTATTTGTGTTCAAAATTTTAAAGCGTTTTTAAAGTCGGTGCCCCTCATAACTTCAAAACTACTGCACCTATCCTTTTGAAATTGTGAACACTATATCTGTACATAATTTACGAGGTAATGCTGGAGAGCTTTTTCAAATTTGTTTATATTTTTTTATTTTATAATAACAAATTAGCCTATCTTTTCCGCAAGAATCGCGTTTTTTACTTCAAAGTGTTCCCAAACAGTGAAAAATTTAAATTTTGAAAAACTCTCCCAGCGTTACCTGGGGAAAACGATTATCTAACGAAAAAATTTTCTGATGATACTGCACCGAGTTGGGAGGGGCACCTTTTTTCCGAAACGCTTCCGAATAATTGCTGTCATTTCCGTATTTTTTAATATTTCTACATGAACATTTGACAGAATATTCTTTGAATGTATACTTTAATGTACCATTAGTTTAAGTAAACAAATATTAACTGTGTTGTCAAAAAAAATTCACAAAAATGTGCCTTTTTTGCACGAATTAACCTTGTCCCCCCCCCCCCTTAAACCTAACCCATACTGACGTAATTTTTTTATTTCCAATAATAATAATAAATCTTTATCAGTACTAGCCAATGTTGCCATCTTAGATGGATGTACACGTCAACATTAATAAATAAAATTACATTACCCCACTTGTGATGCCTCTTTGGAAAACTTATTAAACATCAATTTCACTGATCATAAAAAAGTAGGGTGAACTCAAAAACTCACCTAAATTCAAGAAAACTTTTATTTGAACATAAAAAAATTAACAATAGAAAAACTTATATTAATTATTCAAAATGACGGTCATTTTTTTCAAAACAGAAGTAAACACGATTTTCAAATTCTTGTCCAACGTTCTGGAAAATTTCTCTTAGAATATTTTGACACGCATCTATTATCCTTTGACGCAGCTCATACAAGGAGGGTGGCTGAGTTTTATACAATACATATTATCCAAACTGTTGGCGATATCTACAACATATCTAAATTTCAGAAGAATCTTATCTGTGGGGTCCTTTGTACTAGAATGAATAATATAATTATACTAACTTTGGCAACAATGGTCGAGAGTCGATAAGATCCTCATGGGATATTTTTATTTTACAGACCATGTAAAATCTGTAAACAAGATTATCCCATATTTATATCTAACATTCTAAGTAGATATTATTTTATAATTAAATAAATACTAAATTTTACGTCACATAGGGTACAATTTTTAGTATACCTAGGTATACCTACTTTTGCATGAGGAATTCGTGAAAGTTATTGGAATTTTTATAAAAACCAGACCTGTTCCAGCTATATTATTAACTTTGTTTAAAACTTTCGCTAATACCCCGTAGCGAGAAATTCCGTTCTAAAAAGCAACAATCTAACAGTAAAATTCTACCGTTCATAAAAAAAAGATTTTCCTCTTGGGATGAGAAAGAAAACTATTTATTAATAAATTTCTCACACTAAACTAATTATTCAATTTCTAAAGACCCATGAATTTTACATGACGTTGATCTGCTGTAATTAACCATCAAGCAACTATACATAGTCTTCCTTGAAATAAATCTATCCATTAATCCATTGTAAATTAATATTCCCAGCTCAATGAATGTATAGCCCGACATAGTCACTAGTTCTGATTATTTGAATATATTTTATTATATATCTGTACTAAATAAACATTTTTTTTTTGTTACAGATGAAGTGGATTTTACAAACCCTCACAGCTATCGTGATAGTCCGAACGTTAGAATGTTACCCTTTACAACAATCCAATCCACGACAACCTAAAAATCTAGGCTACTTAGATTACCTACAACCAGATGTAGACTACAACAACTTAGACATAGAACCAGACAGCTATATGTCATTAGCCCTAGAGAATAACCCGTTGAGTAGAACCGTACCTTCAAGAAAACAGCAAGAATTTAATTCGCCTATTTACTACATCCGCATCCCACCACAACCTTACATGTTCGTCCAAGGTTTAGGTTACGTATCGCAACCAGTAGCACCACCTGTATCTCAATTCCTTAATCTACCAGTGTCGTTTGTATCCAATGGAAAACCTAATTCGATCTACCAATGGTCCGGTGCCTTCCAAGGCTTCGATAATCCTACTCAGGCGCCCACCTACTCGGAATACGTAAAACCCAAGCCTCAAAAACCTATGAAGAAGCCTTTGAAAGATTCGACTATTCATAAACTACCGGGTTCGTTTGGTTTCAATGGCAAACCTGAAGATATTTTCGTTCTTAGAGACTCTTACAACTCGTTATATAGTGATGTTTTGCAAAACGTGTACCCTTGAAGACTAAGAAAATTTTGAATCGGATTTTTTTTTTGAAAATCGCGTAGATTTATTGTTTAGGATATAAAACTAAAGCCTTAATATGTAATAGTGAGAGGACGAAATTGTTTTTATATACGAGTACGTTGATAAGTGAAATCCTCATTGTTAAAAATGTATATTTACTCTAAAAGAAACCTAGAAGAAATTATAATTTATAATATTTAAAAAATTAGGAATACACTGTTCTAAAATCCGATAAAATAATGGTTGTTATAATAAATTTGTGATGTAGGTACCTTAATTTTATTAAAGAATGTTCTGTAGAATATTTTCATAAAATCGAATGGTGTCTAATTTTACGTTTGAAGAAATATACTATTTATTGTTTAGCGTTACTTTATATGATTTGTGTCTTTCTGTAGAGCAGAAATATATAAAAAATTGTTTTATTGAAATTTAATATCGGTTAACCTCAAAATTAATAAATTATTTAGTAGGTACCGTTAATTTATGAGCAAAAAACTGGTTTATTGCCATCAAATTATTCTTTAAATCGATTATTTGAATGAAATCAAATATGACAACTAAATTCATTATGTTTTTTTTATTTAATATTAGCAGATGTTAATAACTGACTATTTTCACCAAAAAATATGCAGACGGTATTAAATTATGGATGATTGGCACGCATTTTTCCGTTATACAGTCCGTTCATACAGTATGGAAACGCCCCATTATTGTCTTAGGAGTTAATTATTTAATTTTAGTTTTCTACTGTTTTTTTTTAATAAATGTTTCCCCCACTACCTTTCAAGATATGACGTCATCAATAAATTTTTTATATTGACCGGTTATATTTTTATATAAAAATCTCCCTTAGGGGGGTTTTTACTCTGGGGATATTTTTCATAATTTCGTAGAGGGAGTTAGGGATTATTCATTTTCATATTTCCAAAATTAAAAAACTTTTATTTTCATTAGCGAAAAATCTTCTGAAATAATTACAATTTTGGTCATGATCTGCTCTGTAAGAAGAACATTCACGAATTTATGTAAATAATTTTGGTTTATAAATTTTTGTAATAATTTATTATTTATATTTTATTTATTAAAAGAAATGGAAATTTGCCTATTGTTTAATTTTCCTTATATGGATGAATATTGTAGTAAGAAAGTGTGCGTAGTTATCAGATGGCAGGTGGAGGCGTAGCTTTATATTGTGACGAAAGTCTAATTTATTTTTAGTTTATTTATTTAAAAACATGCTATTTACAATTTATTTCAGACGTACTATTTAATTTATATAATGCTTAGTCACTAACTAACAATTCTAATTTATTTCTCACACTTTAACTTTTCATTACAATGTTCTATATTAAACTAAACTCAGCGCTGATACGTCGGCTATTTATATTAGTCCAACTCCGCTACTGGAAAATGCTAGAGGCTCTCGACGATCGTCTCGAACATTCCATTCCTATGACTAAACGGCACTCTCCTCTGTTTCAGCTGTTTCTCGAGCCTCAGCGGCATTCCCAGAACATTCCGTCGCCTCGAGCACGAGTCGGTTGCAATGTGAAGGTCGAGCGTATAAAGGGTAGGCTTTAAGAATTTCATAACATTGCCCCTCCTTAAGAAATAGTTCCTCCTGGAACTAAAACTAAATGGTTGTATTTGCAACTGGATCCCCTTTTACAATTTCCAGTTGCATGGAAAGGCACAGTCTTCGTTATAACCTAAACGCTGGGAGAATTGCTGCAGACCAGTATTTCAACCTGAGTACTTCCACCATGTTCCTAATGATCCTCCAATTCAGCTGGTTGCTCTCAATCTTTGGCATAGCTAGTTTCTGTATATTGGACTCCAGTACATGCTCCCTCAGACCGAGTAATGCTTTCCATACATCCTGATAGGTGGATCGATCTCGGAAGGTGTTATTTGTTACCAAATAGAAAAAATAACGCGATCCATCTAGAAGTTTTAATGCTTTTCCAGGGGCTGGTAACTGATCTTGAAGTTCTGGCAATCGACCAAACTTCTTCCGGAACATAGATGCCAGACCTCGAACGTCGTAGATGTTGGCGGAAGTACTGTGGACCAGCGAGTAATCTTTTGAAACCATCAGCAGGTCTTGTTGTTGCTCGGTTGTAACACCATGTCTTGCTTTTCCGGTACTTCCATATGCACCCATAAATTCTTCAAATAAAAGGTCAGATGTTTCTTGGAGCTGGTTTACTTCTTCTTCCTCTTCATGGTCACCCTCAAATGGCGCCAGCCGGTTTTGGTGCACTATCCTTGGTTTACCGTTCGGGATCTTACTTATACGGTAAATGACATCATTGATTCTCTTCTTAATAAGATACGGACCTTCCCAAGACCTTTGAAGCTTCGGAGAATAACCCTTTTGTCTTTTTGGGTTATGAAGCCAGACTTTGTCGCCTTCCTTGAAACCTCCCTCCATGGCTTGGGTATCATATCGCCTCTTCATTCTGTCGCTGGCGATTTGAAGATGCGAGCGGACCAATTCATGCATACCATTCTTCGTAACTGGATCACATAATCTTCACCAGCTACATCTTCTCCAGGTCGGCATCCAAACTCAAGGTCGCACGGTAGTCTCATCTCACGCCCAAACAGGACCTTTGCTGGTGTTTGGCCTGTTGATTCATTGACAGCGAATCTATAAGCCATTGTAAAGAGCGAAAGATACTGATCCCAATCTCGCTGATGGTTTGAAACCACTTTTGACAGATACTTTCCAACGGTCTTATTGATTCGCTCAACCATTCCATCAGATTGTGGGTGCAATGCTGTGGTTCGGGTTTTCTTCATGCCTAGTTTGTCACAGATTCCACGGAAGATTTGGCTTTCAAAATTTCTGCCTTGGTCACTGTGGATCTCCAAGGGCACTCCAAATCGACAGATAAACTCTTTAATCAACATATATGCAACAGTTGCGGCCTCTTGATTTGGAATGGCGTAGACTTCCACCCACTTCGTGAAGTATTCCATAACCACCATCATGTATTTATTACCATTCTCGGTCATGGGGAATGGTCCAGCATTATCTAAAGCGATCCTCTCAAATGGGCTACCAACGTTGTATTGCTACATGGGAGCCTTCCTTTTTCGCTGAGGTCCATTACTCATAGCACAGCTGGTACATTTCTTACACCAGTCCTTTACATCATCGGAACTATTCATCCAATAAAACCTTTCCCGGACTCTCTGAAGGGCTTTCCTAACACCGAGATGTTCTCCTGATAGACTGTCGTGTAACTGACGGAGTACTTCAGCTACTCTACTTCTTGGAATGACCAACTGTCTTCTGTTCTCGGAACCATCATCATTTTCAAGTACTCGCTTTAATAAGCCATCTTCCAGGATAAAAAAGTCCCACTGAGCCAAATACGACTTAAGTACTGGAGAGAGATTAGATACTTCTTGCCAAGTAGGTCGACGATTTTCCTTTTTCCATTGTCGCATCTTCTTTAGAACGGTATCGTTTTCTTGTTCTTTTCTAATTTTAGCAGGGGCCCACTCATCGTTGACTACCGTTATTCTTAGTAGTCCACTTTCTTTGGATTCCGCTTTGTTGCAGTGGGAGCAGTCTGCTGGACACGGTCTTCTAGAAAGAGAATCGGCATTTCTGTGGCTAATTCCGGCTCTATGTCCGATCTTAAAGTCGTATTCCTGAAGTCGCTCAATCCATCTGGCGATTTGACCCTCCGGATTTTTGAACTGCATCAACAACTTAAGAGCAGCATGATCGGTACAGATTAAGAATTTCCTTCCATATATGTATTGGTAGAAGTGTTCCACACATTTCACACCTGCCAGCAGTTCTCTTCTCGTGACGCAGTAATTTCGCTCAGGTTTTGAGATCACTTTACTAAAATAACCCAGTACTCTTTCTTTTCCCTCTTGAATCTGTGAAAGCACTCCTCCAATTCCCACATTACTGGCATCAGTATCCAGGAAAAATTTTCCCTCTGGTAATGGGTAGCCTAATATTGGCGCTGTTGTTAAATGCTTCTTTAAAGTTTCGAAGGCAGTTTGGCAGTCGTCGTCCCAGCAGAATTCTCTTGAATCTTCTGTGAGTCGCGTTAGTGGTTTAGCAATATCTGCAAACTTCTTTATGAATCTTCGGTAGTACGTACAAAGCCCAAGAAAACTTCTTATTTGGTGTTTATCTTTTGGTTGTGGCCACTCTTTTATAGAAGCCACGCCATCCTTGCTGACTACATGACCCAGGTAATTAACTTTATTTTGGAATAGTTGGCACTTCTTGGGGTTTAGCATCAGTTTGGCAGCTTGAAGTCTTTTAAAAACATCTTCTAAGTTTTTTAGATGTTCATCAAATGTCTTCCCCAAGACTAAGATGTCGTCTAAATACACCAGACATGTTGTCCAGGATAACGATCTCAATACATTTTCCATAAGTCTTTCAAATGTCGCGGGGGCGTTACATAATCCAAATGACATAACATTGAATTGCCACAATCCAGATCTGGTGGTAAAAGCTGTTTTTTCTTTGTCTACTGGGTCCATTACCACCTGCCAGTATCCAGACTTCAAGTCTAAGGTAGAGAATAGTTTACTTCCGGCCAATGTGTCGAAGGTATCGTCGATACGAGGCAGAGGGTAACTGTCTTTCTTGGTAACATTGTTCAACTGACGGTAATCCACACAGAACCTCGTAGTTCCATCCTTTTTCTGGACCAGGACTACCGGAGAGACCCATAGGCTGGTAGAAGTTTCTATCACCCTACCCTGTCTTTCTTCATTTCCTGAACAATCCTCAGCTTCCTCTCTCTTGGCCTTTGGCAACCTTCGAGCTGATTGACGAATCGGCCTGGCGTCACCAGTGTCAATTTTGTGTTTTACAACAGAATTTCTTCCTGTTTTTCCTCCTTTTGGTACAAAAATATCACGATATCATCGAAGAAATTCCTTTATTTTATTTATTTATTTATTTATTTATTTTCTTCTCTAATTGATTTAGAGATTGACCAGCAACTGCAATCATTTGCTCGAATTTGTCGTTGGAATTATCAGAAGTTGTTGTCTGACGAATTATGGAAGTTACTGGTATACAAGTTCCGATTCTGGTCTCTTTCTTGATGGTAATCGGGTAATCATTAACATTTATGAGACGGACTGGAATTTCTTTAGCAGTCGTGACCAACCCCCTTCCGATCAGAATGCCTCGTCTAACCTCTTCATCGTGGTTCCAAGGTTCCATCATGACAGGTGTTCCTTCTTCCATAGTTTCTTGAAGCCGTGCTACTATAACGGTTTCACTTCTGCCAGGTACCACCGTATCCTCCTGTACAGCAACTGGCACGGCTGTCCCCATATGGATGTAGGAATACCTCTTTGGCACCAACTTAGATCACTCTGTTTTGAAAGTCCAACTGGAAACCATGTAAGTTCATTACATTCATTCCAAGAATAACATCTTCTTCGATATCAGCGACAATAACAGTATGAGTTAACTTTTCTGTACCAATTCCCAATTGAACCTGGATTTCCCCATGGATGTTCGCACTTTCACCTGTGGCATTTCGCAGTCGCAATATTGTTGGTAGAAGACTCTTACAGTTCTTTATGGTTGTTGGTCGTATAATGGTCCTAGTTGCTCCAGTATCCACCAACAGTGTATACTTTTTACCATTTACTTCGCCGTCTACGTATACACTATCATCGCGGCATTTCAAAGAGGCTATCAGTATGAGAGGGTCTTTGGAATGGTTTCGGGTCGAAGCTGTCCCCTCTAGGCCGACCCGCTCTAGTTTTCCCGCGGCGTGTTGTCTTCAGTTGTTGGGACCCTAGGGCGTTTGCACGAACTGCGTACATGCCCCAGTTCACCACAATTCCAGCATCTGATGGTCTTTGTCTTCATGTTTTTATCAGTAAAGGTCTTCATTATATTAACTAGTGGGTCGAGTTTATCTTCTACGTTTTCTTCTTTTACAGTTCTCACTTTATTGTATCCTCCAGAAACCTGCGTAGCTGCCTCATATTCTAAAGCAGCGG